GTCTGTGGGAGGGAGACAAAGAACATTGTTAAGCACAATAAAGCAAATGTGACATCTGTGATTTTTTAGCAAACAAAAGCCAGCATCCAATTCTAGATTAAAATTTGAGCAAGCTTCTAAAAGTGATTGAGCCTTATCAATCACATTTACATTTGAATAACTTTTATGTAGACATCTTATCTCCATTTTGTTATCTGTTTCCAGTTGGCCTTTTGATCAGGAGGGTGAATTTGATTAGTACAGATGTGTAGCTTTTCTCAAGACATCAACTGTAGGTTTCCTTAGGCTAGATTATGTGACATTTTTATTACTCTTGCCACTGAACTAAAGCAGCTTTTCCATTTATGTTTATAATAGGTTTTGTAAATGTCAAATTCCTTGTTAGAAAGTCAGAGTTAACATTCCAAAAGTCAAAGGCTGATGTAAATAATGTTCATGGATACTCAGTTTGAAGTAATTTCATATCACATTTTCCTCCAAAAATCAAGATAACCTACTTTTCAAATAAATATTTGAAAGAAAGAAATCAAGCTGCAGTCAGAATAAAAAAAAGGATACAGAATAGTCTAAAATGTGGTATCTGCCTAGATTTCAAGTATAAACAAAAAGTACGAACATACAGGTAAGACCAATGTGAAATCAATTTGCTATGACTAAGTTTGTAATTTTAGGTTAGTTAACCCTTACACCAATTCCTTGGAACTAACTTTATAAAATTATGGAGGATTTGAAATTAGGTTTCTATTAACTTTAGCTAATGTTTTTGATTTCTGTTATCTCCAAGGAAATAAACCTGTTTAAGTATATTGGGGATTAGGTTGCATCTTTCTTTTTTCTATCCTTTCATTTTTTAGGAAATGACAAGTTGGTAGGTTATTTAATATGTTTTCAAAGGAAAGGAGAATGGCTCAGCTTCTTTGTGGAGATCAGCGAGTTCAGGATACTTTCACAAATTGGGGGTCACAGACTCAGAAGCCTTTGGTGGCCAGACAAATGATGTCTGAGAGATGAATGCTGGAAGAGGACTGCAGAACACCTGTCCTCCTACTGCATTCCAGGGAGTGTGGCCCTGCAAAGACCAGGCGTGGAAGCTTCTGCTGTGTGTGTGTTTTAATGTTCAATCTCCTGATTTTCAAATGCTGGCAATCATTTTTCTTCAAAGATTGTGTGTATTCTGTGAGCTGCACTTGGCCTATAAGCCTACTGCCTACAAGCCAATAATTGCCCACAATAATTTCATACTGGGAGCCAATCCATTATGCACAATTATTTATAATAAGGAATATAATTGTCAAGTTCATTTTTATTCTCATTTTTGGCTGATCTGAGCACTATATTTGAGAGCTTAAACAAATATGAAAAGGTCGCTTGGTGATTTAAGAATCAATGTAAACAGAGTTATAGGATTCTGATAGATAACTTGATCAAATAGATGTTGAGTGTCTTACATGTACCAGGCACTGTTTTAGGCATCAGAAATACAACTGACTACAAGGTACCTATCTAGAGGTGGGAGGTAGTAAATAAATAAGTAAACAAGAAAACTAGAACTTAGTGGTAGCTACCACTCAGAAAAGTAGACTAGGGTAATGCAATAGCAGGTGATGACTGATTTCCCCAAAGGAGCCTGTGAACCTAAATCTTCAAGGCTATCAAAGTGTTGAATTCTTCCTAAAGTCTCCTTTTGCTCTAGGTCCCTCAATGAAGTCACTGGAGGTATGTCTTAAGGAATTGAAGACTAGTTTATTTTAAATTGGTTACCTTTTAATCTTCTTGGCTAGATTTGGGGGTCATGTTGATCCCAGAGGGATTTAGGGAAACCTCTCATCTAACCAGCAACTTAGTGACAACGCCTGGGTGGGTGCTGCAGAAGGCTCACTACAAACATTTTGTGTTGATTCCTTTAGCTTGCACTTCAGAGAGGACCATTTTCCTGAATGTCCTCAAATTCTAGGAATGTATCATTTGAGGATTTTTACCACTTTTTGGGGACAAGGACTAATAACAGCTTGGCAAAGAAACTCCCTGCCAGAGCCAGGGCTTCTCCCACCTAAAAATGCACATTGACAGATACCTTTCAAACTCTTCCCAATGGTATTATAATATGTCCCTTCACGTTGACATGGAGAAAACCTGGAATTTGAGTCATATTAGAAGATCTGGATTCAAAGCCAGCTACATGGCTCTGCTGTGGGCTACCTCTTTGATCTGATAGTCTCACAACCTTATCTTGAAGACCCACTTCTTGGGTGTCCTGGGAGGATTGAACGACAGTGTGTATTTGAAAGTCAACCCTGCAAAGCTTCATATTATATATTACTAGAGGCCTGGTGCACAAAAATTTGTGCACTTGGGAGGGTCCCTCAGCCCGTCCTGTGCCCTCTCATAGTCTGGGACCCCTCGGGGGATGACCACCTGCTGGCTTAGGCCCGCTCCCTGGGGGATTGGGCCTAAGCTGGCAGTCAGACAATCCTCTGGCAGACTGGGAGCCCTTGGGGGATGTGCATTTGCCAGCTGCAGTCGGACATCCTTAGTGCTGCTAAGGAGGCGGGAGAGGCTCCCGCCACCACCACCACCTGGCAGCTGTCAGCCTGGCTTGTGGCTGAGCAGAGCTCCCCCTGTGGGAGCGCACTGACCACCAGGGGGCAGCTCTTACATTGAGCGTCTGCCCCCTGGTGGTCAGTGTGTGTCATAGTGACCAGTCATTCCCAGTCGTTCTGCTGTTGGGGTCAATTGCTTCTTACCCTTTTATTATATAGGATTATGATTGGAATGGCCATCAAGGTCATGCTTGTTTTGCAATGTTATAATCCAACAAATGGGTAAGGGGGCAGAGCCAAACACAGATAGACCTCTGATGTAACAGGCCACTGAAGAGCAAATAAATATCTTTAAAGTTATATCTGAAATAGAAATGCAGATTGTATATAATAGTAATTGTAGCAGTGGCAGTAATAATAAATGGCTGACATTTACTGATCACTTTCTCTGTTCCAGGTCTGGAGGTAAACACATTGCATTTATAATATCTTCGAATGGGGTGAGGAGAGGGAAGAAAAAAGTCAAGTCAATAAAGCGAAGTTGAAAATAAAGCAATACTGCCAGCACAATGTGCCCTATCACCTTGCTCTTTAAATACGAGCAGGTCTTGAGAACCAATTTATTAGAGATTTGGTGTGTTCAGTCTTCCCCTTCTCAGCAGGAAGGCCCACCACCTTCTGCCCAAGGCCCAGCCCACTGGCAGCATTCAGAAAGAATTGTCTTGCATGTGCCAGTATTTTACCTAGTAGCACATGTTGCCCATAACAAAAAAGAACTTCAGGTTAAATATGTAGTAAACAAAGAATGGAAATGCAAAAGAATACATTCAGTAGCTTAGACTGTATCCTTTGTAAAGCAAAAGCATTTATTTCAAAGCCGCCCCCCCCCAACCCCCAATAAGACTGGAAATGGATTCTTCTATCAAGACTTCCATAAACTTCAGAGTATGAAATGTGTCCAACAAGTGGGGATGCTGAGGTGAAAGGTGCCGCCCCATTCTCAGCCGTGCATGGGTGCAGAAGGAAATAATGCTCATGTAGCCGTTTGCCGCAGGGCTGGTGTTATTTATATAACGCCGCCGGCTGGGCCAGGTTGGCGCTGGAGCAGGGAGAGGAGGGAAAGGCTTGTCTTCATGTGAGAGAATACAGACTGTGCGCCTGTGCACTCAGCGTTCGGCGTTTGAAACGTGAATTCTTGAGGAGGGTGTGGGGAATACCATCACCGCTAATGTTTATGTATATGTCATTATGTTGGCAACACAGACTTCTAGCATCTTACTTGTATAGCATTCATTTGGGAGTAGGGAAGAAATGGCGATTTGGGAGTGACTGCTGCGGTCGGCAGTGGGTGATCCACGCTGCTGGTTACTGAGGACCTGAAACTGGCAAATGCGCCCCCTTGATCCTCCACCGAGGACACGAAAATCAACTATATGCGTATACTTTGAAAAATGGAGAGAGGGTTGCTCCCGAATGCTGGCGACCCTTGGGCTCGCGGCCGGGAGTGGGATGCAGGCAGGTGGGCGGCTGGCATCTCTGAGGCGAGCACAGGTCACCGAGACCAGGCACAGGCCGGGTGGGTGGGGGCATCGCGCCGAGGCGGGAGCTCAGCAGGGAACACAACCCCATTCATACGCTCTGGGCGCACGCCGACTCCTCTGGGATCCCCAGTCCACCCGCGCCAGCTGCTCCGCGCCTTCTCCTCCCCCGCCCACCCGGCGCGGGAGGGGGACCGGCAGGGGACCCTCGGGATAGGCGGGCCCGGAGTGTCCCGTTTGCCCCGCCCGCCCGCCTCCCGTGGATCCCGCGGCGTGGCGCGGCGCATCCCGGCTGGAGGGGGCGCTCGCGCCCAGGAACCGGGCGCAGCAGGTGCCGCGGTTACCTCCACCTCGGCGGGGGGAGAAGGGGCGGGCCGGGGCAGGGGAGGAGGAGGAGAGCGGGAGAAGGAGGAGGGAGGTCGGCTCGCAGAGCTGGAGAGCGCGGCCGGCTCGGCAGGTTGGGACCCGAGCTCGCGGCTTCCGGAAGGCTCCGCGGTCGGATAAATACATCCCGGGGACCCGGGAGCAGGGAACGCCGCCCGCGCCGCCCGCACCGCCCGCACCGCCGTCCGCAGGGCGCCAAGCCGGCCGGCTGAGGCGCGGCGCCCGCTCCTCCTCCTCCCGCGGCCGGCGCGGAGCAGCGGAGAGCGGCGGGCTCGGCCGCCGGCGCCGGGCCGCAGAGCCGATGAGCGGCGGCGGCTGAGGGCCAGGACTGGCCTTTGCCCGCCGTCTGCCCGGCGCCCGATCGGGGCCGCAGCGCCCGGGGCGCGGGGTCCGCGCCGGTGCCATGGGGGCGGACTGACGCGCCGGGGCGGCCAGCACTCTCCCTCGAGCCGCGGGCCCTGCTCGGAGGCGGCGGCGGGCGCCTGGCGCGGCGCGCTCTGCCCGGGGCGCCCGCGGGAGCCTCCGCTGCGCTCTATGCGCCTCTGCGGGCGCCGCGGGCCCGGGCCATGGCGATAGACCGGCGGCGCGAGGCAGCGGGCGGCAGGCCCGGGAGGCAGCCACCCCTGGGCGAGGAGAACGGCTCTCTGCCGCCCGGGGACGCGGCGGCCTCGGTGCCCCTCGGGGGCGGCGCGGGCCCCAGCAGCGGCGGGGAGATCCAGTCGCTGCCCTCCCCGCATCCCGGCGGCGGCCCTCACTCCGCGGCGGCTCCCAGCCTCCTGTTGCTGGACTACGACGGGTCGGTGCTGCCCTTCCTCGGGGGCCTGGGCGGGGGCTACCAGAAGACCCTCGTGCTGCTCACCTGGATCCCGGCGCTGTTCATCGGCTTCAGCCAGTTCTCGGACTCCTTCCTTTTGGACCAGCCGAACTTCTGGTGCCGCGAGGCCGGCAAGGGCGCCGAGCTGGCGGGAGTCACCTCCACTGGCCGGTGGGGAGCCTACGACGGGGCCAACTGGAACAGCCCCCCGACCACCTCCTTCTCCACGGCCGCCTGGGGGCCCGCGGGCAACCTCAGCAACAGCAGCGGAGCGGACAGGGGCGACACGCCACCCCTGTGGTCCCCTCCGGACAAGGGGGACAACGCCTCTAACTGCGACTGCCACGCGTGGAACTATGGCATCCGCACAGGCCTCGTCCAAAACGTGGTCAGCAAGGTAAGGGCCGCGACCGCCCCGGCCCCGTGTCCTTCTCCTAAGTCCCTTTCACTCCTAGGTCACCTCCACCCTTACCTCCGTCCTCTCCTTATATACCGAGGTCTAAGCAAAGGCAACCAGGGACGAAGGATGGAGTCCCTGAAGTGATGCTGACCTGTGTGTATAGGCATCCCGCATTGACGTAATAGCCTCCTGTCCCCCAAACAAATGCATTGACTTGAAGCGAGTGCTTTTTGCCGCCCTCCGCAGTGACAGGGCCTCCTAACTCTAAGGGGGCACGGTAGCCTCGCCTAATTTGCACCCCAAGTTCTGCCCCAGTGCACGTAGGGAAAGAGTCTCCCCCTCCCCCAAAAGACTAGAGCTTCCTTCTCCCATCCTGCTGGCTGTCACCTTCATGAGGGCAGGAGTGACCGGTGGAGGGTAAGGCCTCTGACCTGTCACCAAGCCTGCCTTGGAGGCCCTGCCTCATTCAAGTTCTGCTGGCGGTTCCAGGCCCGGGGCTCCGCTCTTCCGCCTGGCCAGCTATCGCTATGACTGCCATGAAGCGCTATCTATCCATGAGCATAGCGCCCTGTTCCCAGATGCCTTAGCCATCTCCTGCTTGCTTTGGAAACAGGCTAAAGCCCACTAAGGCACTGAAGTTGTAGCCAGAGAAGCAAAGAGCTTTTGAAAATTCCCTTCCCCCCATTCCCAGGCTCAGCCTCCTCCTAAGATGGGCATACTTGGCCTTAGACTTAGCCACCCCAACTGTTCCCTCTAGTGATTTCTCAGGACTATAGTAAACATCATGGAGTATAGGAAGGACACTAAGAATGTTTTGGTACCCAGGGACCCCCATGCTCCTACATAGCAGCTGCCTTTATCTGAGGCATTGGGACCCTGATCAACTTTAGCTGAACTTGCAACTTGCATCCAGTCCATTGGAGCTCCTCTAGCAGAGGTATTTCATTGGAATGGAGCAGTGTTTGCTGAGAGATGTGTGGCCAGCATAAAAATGGAGAATGAGCAATGTTAGAAAATCAGTGCCCAGGACATCTGTAATTTTCTGGATTTCTTAACATATAAGAGATATCTTATGCCAGTTTGTCAAGCAGTTTGTGGTTTTTGCCCTATTTGTTTTTTAAATAACTAATTTGCATTTCCAAGTAATTGTATACCTTTTCCTCTTCTGGGCAGTTCTGGGCAGTTTTAAATGATTTGTTTAAATGTGAGACTGAAATTTAATAGTTTATGATAACCAATGTGCATGTATTTCCCCCCCAAATGTGTGTTAGTAAACTTTGTAGCTCACAGATGTGTAAGATGAAACTCTTACATCATCATAACCCTTGTTTTAATCTTGGCAAGAAATGATCTGTCCTGTGGGAACTGTCTGGATTAGCTGTTAAATAGGGAAGATCCTTTCAACTTAGTTCACCCTGACACCCCGGTCCCCCCAGTGAGGTTGGCCTCCCCAAAGGTGTTTCTGTGATTCTGTTTCCCATTGATAGAGGGCAATATTTGGATTTTGTTTTGACCAGCATGGGGAAATTAACAATGATTATTTTAATAGTCTGTATTTCTGTGAAAGTAAGGATTTGGCAACATTTTCATATACTCTAAGCCCCCTTCTAAAGAGAGGAAGAATAAAATAGATCAAAGCAAATGTGAGAGGAGGGTGCTCTCTCCTAGGTCAGATGGAGGGCAGACTCAAAAGTTAGGAGGTGGGATAGACTGTCATTAACTTAGTGTTGGGGATCCAGGAACAGCTATTCACACTTTGCCCATGGATGGTGGGAGGAGAGAACTAAAATAGTTCTTGAATACAGGCTATGCAGGCATGTTGGAGAGCTGGAAATTCTCTCTAAATTAGCATTCAAAAGGGTAAAAAAAGGCACTAATGTGTGCAATGTGTTTGGGAGTGCTGGATAAGTCACAGTGACATAGAGTTGACAAGCAAGACTGGGAGGAGAAGACTCTGGGACAATAGTTAGACACACATTTTCTTGTAAGATAAAGATTAGCAGGCTCATATCGATTCTCACACACAAACAAGATCTAAATAAAGGACTGTCCTTCCACAGTGTTCTGTTCCATAACAAATGCTTTAAAGAGCTTTTAGAGCACATTTTGGCACCCGTACCCAGGCAGACTTTCTCCTCTGTTGTCTGTGCACTATCAGATGTACAAACGTGGAAGGTATCCTGTGATGGGGCTGAGTTCTAGGGGTCAGGTGCTTGTGTGCTTTGTAAGTAGAAGAAAAAGTGGAAGATTTGTCTTCTGTCAGTGGAGGAAAGATCAGGGTCTGAGAGGTTGCCTTTTGTGTCCTCTTTTCTGACTCCCATCATACCTGCAAATAAGCCTCACGGAATGTCTTTATCATTAGACATGAAACTGTCAAGCCAGTTAGAATCCCAGGTTATTATAGTTAAAAGAGATCTTCAGGCCTTCAGGCCTCTCTCCCCTCCTGAATCAGATCCAGTATGTGGGTCTCTCTTCCAGGATGGGAAGGGAGCCCCTGCCCAGGCAGCCCGCTTCATAGTTACTCTTCCTTGCAGAGGGGCCTGTTTTTTGGTGATTAGAACTGGGTTCCTCTCATGCCCATGTGTACAACTTGTCCCTCTGAAGGATTCTTCTTCCTTCATGTAATACATAGTCAGGTGGTGGAGGATGCCCAGGTCCATAGTTTATTTCCTGGCTAAGACATCTCCAGATGCTTCAGTTGTTGCCATACATGACAGACTTTGCTGTGCTGACTGCTCCACTGGACATGTCTCTTCAGCATGGCACCCAGCACGCAGCCTGCAGGCCCTGCGTCTTCTAACCAGGAGGAAGGAAGAATGGACACTGCCTCCATGCATGAAGCCTACAGTTGATGCATTAGGCTTTTAGCACATGCTTCTCTTTCGAGTCCACAGTCACCAAACCTTTATGGGATTATACTATGCCAGGGCTTTCTCAGCCTACGCTTGTGTGACATGTTGCACAAGATAGGTTTCATCTGAATAGTTTTTGAGTTATTAGATCTCTCCTATTAGGATCTTTTTTATTTCTGTTTTTGCCTTGGTCCTTGGTATTTGTTATCTGTTCCAGAACTTGTCATGCCTTCAAAGTAACAACAACAACAAAAGCAACAATAATAATACCAAGTTTATTTTGTGTAGCCCTATGAAGTTTCAAAACCTTTGGCATATATTTCCTTTCATTAAGAATGTTGAGTAATCTGAGGCCAGTCTTAACACTGAGCATTTCTTTGGAGTTTAAATCAGTGGATGCGGGCACACTTGAGTGGGCCAGGGCCCAGTGTTCAACTTCCTGATGTCACTTATAGCTCTGTATTGTATCTCCTAGTCATGTTGGAAGATATTGTCAGTGCCTTCCTGGAAAGAAAAGCCTAATAAATTCCTGCAGAGTCACTTAGAGGACATTTCTGGGGGAACTGAGGCGGGAGGAGGGGTTGCTTGGCCTCCCTGACCCACACCAGCAGCCCCTGTGCAGCCCAGCGGCCAGGTACTTCTGAGATTTTACTCAGCCAGGTAAAAAAATCAACCCTGCTGATTCTAAAATATTTTTCTTAATAACTTGCATAGTTTATTCCGCATCGTTCTGAGCGAACTCTTACTGGTTTCTAATGCTCACCACTTACTTTGAATAATTACTAGAATTTTGCAAAAAGTCAATGTCAGCTAAACTTTCTAAGCTCCATTCTTTTTCTGTAAATGAAATTTGGGATGCTTGTCTATCTCCAGTCGTCTGCTGTTTCTTCTGTTCTCCATGAATTCTCAAAGATTGCTAGCTTTTACTCTGTAAGGACACCTGAGAGTTGTTTAAATATCCCGAGAAGTAATTTGTATTCTTTTTCTGGTACTCAAGACAATAAAGTGACTCAGTACAATTTAATTAGGATTAAAAATAATTACAATTTAATTGCAATAGTAATATTTAAAAAAGAACCCACTGTTAGGTCATGCTAATGGTGTTTTAATTACTTCGTGTAGTATATACAACACAACAGGGAACATCTTTATGCATACCTATTTTTAGAAATTGACTAATAAAAAATGCATGCATGTGGTATGGAAAGCAGATGGTAGGGTAACATTTCTTGCCATCTCTGCCTCCAGTTTCACTCTTCAGAAGCAACCATGGTTACCAGTTGCTTATATATCCTTCCAGACATATTCAAAGTGTATTTTCATTTATATATTTTTCTCTCACAAACAGTAACATTATATACACTGTTCTTTGCCCCTTTTTTGCCTATATTGGGGATGGATGCATAGAGAGCCCCTAATTCTTTTCTGTGTCTGCACAGTATTCCATGGTATGATTGGGTCATAATTTATCTAATTAGTCACCTAAAAGGGGGGCATTTAGGTGGTCTCCAGTCTTGGCTAATATACAATATAGAATGAAATCCTGGCACAAATGAAATTCTTAGCAGTGGAGAGTCAAAGTGGGCTGCATTTTTATTTTGCTAGATGTTGTCTAAGTGCTCTCTACAGAGATCTTACTACCAAGTTACACTTCCGTCAGGGATGTGTCAGGTGCTCTTCCTCCCTGCAATCCTTCCTGGGCCAGGGAGTTAACCACATTGCTAAATGTCTCCTGGCTGGATATGCGAGAAGTTGTATTTGGTCATGGGTATGGATTTACATTTGTCTTGCTTTGAGGGGGCTAAACATCTCCCTGAAGTTGGTTGAGCCATTGTGTTTCCTTGTCTTTGAACTGTCTCCATGTTTTGGCTTCATGTGTATGCATGTTGGGGGAGTGTTATTTTCTTACTGATTTATAGACATACTTTATGCACAAAGTCAGTTAACCCTTTTGGATGTCTTGTAAATAAATGCTTTTCCCTGGTTTGTTGTTTGACTTTTGATTGTGTTCATGGTGTTTTTGTTAGGCAGAAACTTTGGGTTTGGATAGCGTCAAATGAATTAATCTTTTCTTTTTAGTAGTTTCTGGATTTTGTGTTTGATTTAGGGCTTCCCTAATCCTGGAATGTTAGGGGAAAAACCTAT